AGCGAAAGAAACTTGCTCGGAATGGGAAGTTTTGGTTCAGTGTATAAGGGAACACTTGTGGATGGGGTAGACGTTGCAATAAAGGTTTTCAAGTTGCCGTTAGAGGAAGCTCTCAGAAGTTTTGAAGTTGAAAGTTATATGATGCGCAATATCCGCCATCGGAATCTTGTCAAAATCATTAGCGGTTGCTCCAATGATGATTTTAAGGCCTTGGTGCTGGAGTTCATGTCTAATCAGAGTCTTGAAAACTGGTTGTATTCTCCCAACCATTTCCTAAACTTGCTACAGAGATTGGACATAATGATAGATGTTGCATCAGCACTGGAATATCTTCATCACAGTCTTCCATCACCAATTGTCCATTGTGATTTAAAGCCTACTAATGTCCTGCTAGATGAAAATGTGGTTGCTCATGTGGCTGATTTTGGCATTTCTCAACTTTTAGGAGATGATGTGTCTGTGAGACATACCTTGACGCTTGCTACTATTGGGTATATGGCTCCAGGTAATGATACCACTTCTACATTTGATTTAGTTCAGTTCAATTGCTTAATTTCTACCTTTATTTTTTACCTTACTCTTAACATACATACAAATTATAACATATTTTACTTATAATGTCACCCCTTGCTTCCATCTTAAATTACTTAAGGGTGACAATTCAATTTTTAATTTAATTAACAGGAATTGAGTTTTGACCTAGAAATGCTCAAAGCGAGAGAGCGGATGAATTAAAATGTGCAAACTATGTTCTAATTTTAAAACGTTAAAACTGATGTGAAGATTAGACATAGGAATAAGTAGGGGACAGTTTTAATTTTAAATGCCTAAACTAATATAAAGACTAGACATAGCAATAAGCTGAGAATGATTATGAATTGAATCAAACACAAATCAGTGATTTACGCCTCTGATAGATATCAGCATACTTAGGTTCGGATTTAGATATTTATCTCAGTAAACAATTTAAATAGATGATTGTTTAGTCGAAAATTCAATTATCAGCTTTACTATTTAACCGTTTAGACATACCCTCATCTTCAAGAGAACTATAGAGCTTAGCATGTTTATACAAACTGTAATAATGCATAAACCATAGATTTTTTTTTTTTTTTTTGAAAGAGTAATTTTCTCCCTATACAAGCTTCTAGAGCCAACAAACTCCAAAAGGATACAATTAGAATAACATACAGATCAGCAGGTTACAAGTACCAAAGCAAAAGCCTAATGAAACTGCAAATCCACTCACTTAGACCACATCAGAATCCTAGTGAATCAGCACATATATTCTTATGCAACCTTAAAACGAGCAGCAAGAGAATCACAAAAACCTAGAAGGGATCCAGGTACATATTAAGAGATGATCATTGGATTCTAACACCATCAAAAGATCTCCCGAGAATCATAGAAGCCTATAAATGCCATGGCACCTTGCTGCAACTGACATCAACCTTTGTATTCATTCAGTAGATGAATCTGTAAAATCTGGAAAGACTACAATCAGACCATAGAGACGAACCTGATCAGCACATACGATCTACAAAA